TAAGGAGGAACGATTAATTTGAAAAAAAAATGTAAAACAAATGAAACATTTACTAATAGGCCTGGGATAAACATGCAAATGCATTTTTTGTGTGCGGATATGTCATGATGAGAGAACCCCCAAAAATGGTGTTTTTACGTCGGTCCGAGTACTTTAGGACCCGGTTCTTTTGAGAAATTCTGAATATTTTTATTAATATTCCATAAAATATACATAATTCAAAAAACAACTGAATGAATGCTTCAAATTTCTAAAAATAAACGCTATTGATTGGATGAGGTGGATCAAGCTCAATCCTCCGATATCCCTCGATATCCTCCGTAATCCCCTTAATCCTTCTTGAACTGAGATCACAATCCGTCCAAATCACTATCCGTTTAAATCCTTAGATCGAAAATAGATACATGGACTCTCACATGGATTTTTATTCATTATTATTGATTTCTGTTTAATATTTTGAATGGAATTTTGACCCGAAAAAGACTCGGTCCGGCCGACTCGAAAACGGCAACCCTACTCAGAAGTCAAAATAAAATATAAATTCACGAGCCAATTCGTATTTGTCGTATATAGTTCAAAATAGAATTACGGAAAAAGAAAAATTGTCACCAGTGAAAGAGCTACATAGAAAGTAAAATTAAATCATCGGAACGCCTTTTAAAATACTATAAAAGCCTTTGTTTTCTTCATTCGTCACCTTACCAACAAATAATATCTTTTTTTCAAAGCAATTATCAAAACAAGTTCAAATCAACATCAAAACAACAACAAACAAAATGTTCTTTTATTTAATTCGACAAGAAGAGTTTAAAGATGGTTCTGGAACAAGAAAGTCTTCTTCATTTCTGCGCTCGTCGACTACCAACATTTTGCCAACTCTCTTTGCTTCTTTGGTTTTTTTGTTTCTTCTCGGGCAAGTTAAGGGTGGCGATGATGGTAATGGAATCCATGTTGGGTTTTTCAATCACACGCTGAAGGGTAAAATGGTTACACTTTCTGAGGGAACCGTAGAAGTCAATGAGACCAACCTGGAATTGTACACGAATCATTCTGGAGCCTGTGAAGTTACTTTTGAAGGCAATTTCATGTGAGTTTCCTTGATTAATAGTCTTAAAATAAATTTGCTGTTTTTCAGCGTACTCCACTACAAAAGGGAAAGCAATGCGGCGAAGGATGGTTGCACAGTGGACTTGCTCACCAACCTTCAGAACATGATTTATTTCACAACCGAAGTGAAGCACAGCGATGTGATTGAAAAATGCCTGGGGAAATGCAAAAAATCAAATTTTTTTGATGGAAGTAGTGATAATCTGTAAGTTTTTAGTTAGTGTGATAATCCATTATTAAATATATTTTAGTTTGCCTTTCGCCTACAGCACAACGGAAGATAAGAACATCATGGAATTAACAAACGGACCAATTTATAAAGAAAACATGACATGTTCTGACGAAGGGGAGTGTCAAAACAACGGTGGAAGGTGCATGCCGTGGACTTCTCTTGAGGTTGCGTGGACCACCTGCGATGATAAATTCCTCTCTCACACCCATCCAAGTATGTTATGGTATTTTACTATTTAACTTACAATTTTAGTTGGTGAAGTTGAGGCACATTGGTGGCAGCATAAAAGTTACGACAGAAATGATACAGAATTGTCTTTCAATTTGAATATAACAAATGGTAATTTCATAATGGACTTTGATGGAGAAATAATGAACTATTCCAAATCGGCTTATCGAGCTGCCTGCATCCCTAAAGAGGAAGGCATTGCCAAACCTGTTACATGGGAAATCAACGGGAATCTACCGAATTCGAATTATACGAACTTGCTGGTCTTCCACATGCTTCCACAAAAGGCATCACGAAAGCATATTGACGGCAAAATCAAAAAAGATGATCTTCCTGATGGTCCAAAGTGTGATGAACTTTCTATCAAATTTGTAAGGATCTTCACATTCTTATAAAATCTTATTTTCTTTTCTATTTAGCATACGGATAACTACATTTTGTTGACTAACGAAGACTTCATCGCTCCATCAACAACAACGGCGACCACGACTAAGCTTCCCGAACCAACCACGACTAAGCTTCCCGAAGCAACCAATCGTGAAATCCCTTTTGGGTTTTTCAATCACACGCTGAAGGGTGAAATGGTTACTCTCGCCGAACGAGTCGAGGAAGTCAACAAGGACAACATTAGTTTGTACACGAAGCATCCTGGAGCCTGTGAAGTTACTTTTGAAGGCAATTTCATGTAAGCCGTCTCTTAGAATAATTCTGAAATAAATTCGAAATTTTCAGCGTGCTTCACTACAAAAAGGAAAGCAAAGCGGCGAAGAATGGGTGCACTGTGGATTTGCTCTCGCGTCTTCACAACATGATCAAGTTGGAAACTGGAGTGGAGGACAAAGGAGGGGTTGGAAAATGCTTTGGGAAATGTTCTTCAGAAGATTTGCCTTTTAATGGAAGCAGTGCCAATCTGTAAGTTTACATTTGTTTGGGAGGATAATATATTAAAATTTTATTTTTAGTTTGCCCTTCGGCTACAGCACAACAAGGGACAAGAACATCACAAAGTTGAAAGTAAATGGGCCGTTGTATGATGCTAAGGAGGAAAATTGTCATAATGCGGATGAGTGTGGAAAGTCGGCAGATTGTATGAGGTGGACTTCTCTTGAAGCTGCGTGGACTACCTGTAACGATAAATTCTTTGCTCACGCCCATCCACGTAAGGATAAATATTGTCTGTCTTATTTTCATTATTTTATTTTAGTGGGTGAAGTTCTAGCCGTTTGGAGTACCAACACGAAGTTCGACGCAAAAGCAAAAAATTTATCCTTCGGATTGACTATAACAGAGAAGGGCAATTTCATAATGGACTTTCGTGGACAGAAGATGGACTATGCTGAATCGAGCAAAAAAGCTTTTTGTCTCCCTAACGACACGTTCGTAGCCGAGCCTGTTACTTGGAAAATCAACGTGACAGAGCTAAAGCCGAGACACAACAACTTGCTTGTCTTCCATATGCTTCCACAAGAATCGGCGCGAATCAACAGTGGTGACGAAAGCAATATAAGATTACCTCCTAAAGGACCAGAGTGTGATGAACTTTTTATCAAATTTGTAAGGATTTTCAAATTATTATAAAATTTCAAAATTTTTCCTTTTTCTATTCAGAATACAAAAGACTACACTTTGTTGGGACAAAAAGATCCACCTCCAACAACAACAACAACGTCACCACTACCGCCAACAAAGACCAGGATCACCACAACTAAAAAGACTTCAACATCAAGGAAAAAACCTCCTCAAACCACGACAACACCTAAAGCAACAACCACATCTGATCCTGGCTCTGGAAACTTCAAATTCGTTGCCACGATTACGTTCATTGTGGCTTTTTTTATATTCGTTGGTGGCCTCTATTGTCTTTTTAATGTCTCCGCTGACTATACAAAGAGTGACATGCAATACTTATTTCGTGGAGAACTTCACGATATAGAGATCGCGCTTATTCTACGCCTGGGATTTTTTGTGACAAGCTTCCTTGCGCTAATTTCTGGCTGCTTCAAGGTCACGGTCTACCACATGGATACTTATACAATCTACCAGACGCCTCCATACATCCACTACTTAATGCCAATCTCAATCTTCATTGGCCTTCTTCTTATCACTTCAATCATCAACTGCTACTACAACCACCTGAAGAAGAGAAACCGAAGGAGGATTGAGGAACGCAAAGCAGAAGATCGGAGGGAGGCTCGTCGCCAAGATGCTTATGCTAGATGTGCCCGCAACATGGCACGAATGAGGATGCAAAGGAAGAACGTAGTTGTAAATTTTTTAAAAATCCAAAAAATTTTCCTCTCTTTTTCAGAAGTACTATAATGGACCAACTTCATCTCAAAACACCAATTCCTCGAGTATGAACAAATATTCTCAATATAATTCGGATCTTTTGAGCCTCGAAAGGGACAGCGATTTGTTGGAGGATGATGATAATACTGCTATTGAGCTCTTGAAGATGGATACAAGTTTGGCTGGAACAGAGGAACCAAATGAAGGATGGCCTGAGGAAGTGAGTCGAAAAATGAATTTTAAACTGAAATTTTTTGTTTACTTTTTAAGACTGATCAGCAGAAGAAGAAGAGTGTTGTTCACGAACCGGCGGAAATTAACTGGAAGGCGGCAGAAGAAGCAAAGAAGAAGAAGAAAATTAGGAAGAGTGAGAAGAAGAAAAGATTTGGATAGGATATTTCACCAAAATAAACAAAAAATAGGTATCCCTTTCTCCCAAAAATAAATATTTTCCTATAAATTATTGTATTTGTCCTTATATCTACCTGTGATAATCATTATTTTTCTGTAGTTGTAATAAAAGTTTGTTGAAACTTGGAAACTTTCTGTTTCTCATTAAAAATCTGAATTTTTCTGTTTAAAATTAAAAATACAAATTTCCGGATTTTTTTTAAGAAACACAGAAAAATAATCTAGTCGATCTTTAATAAAAAATCAGAATTAAAACTTAGAATAAATAGAATCAGAAATTAAATTTACAATCAGAATTTACAAAAACAAAATCAGAATTACAACAAGAAATAAACACTACAGAATAAAATTATTAAAAATACAAAATCAGAAAAAGATACATACACAATAAAAAATAATTTTCTTTATTTACTGCAAAAATAAATATTTAAAAAAATAAATTTAAAACAAAATATTTCAATCATTAATTAAATCTTCGTCTTCAAGATGGGGTAAAGGAGATGCAAATCCACCAGGTATTCCACCTCTAGCTTTGATAATTTCAGAAAGTGTATTTGGAAATAATGAAAATACCTAAAATTATTTTTGGAGTTTTTTTGGTTAAAGACTTTTTAGAGGGAAAAATTGAGAATAATTATATAAAACTAAAATATATTATTTTTTAACTCCCTTATTTATATCTGAATATCTCCCCTTTTATCTAAATACCAATGCCGTTTCAATTATAAAAATTTTATTTTCGAAAATTTAGATAATTTTTAAATAAATTTACTTTAAATCTTGCCCCCATTTCAGCATCTGATACAAGAATATTACAAGAATTAAGCAAAGCTTCCCGTTGCTCTGTTGTTGTTGATTTTCTAAGTAAATAATCTAATCGATGTATAAGTCCAAGTTGGGTTAGAAATTGCCTTTAAATTAAATTTTTTTTTAAATTAGAGAAAGATTTTTAAATAAATTCTTTAGAAAATAAAAGAAAATAATTTTTAAAAAACTTTCAAAAATTGTCTTTTAAATTTAAAAAACCTTTGTTCAACAGGTCCAAAAATTAAACATTTTCCTTCAATAACTCTTTTAATTTCCCCAAAATCCACATCTGCTGTTAAATCAACTCTTCCTGGACAATCTAGTGGATCTACAATTGAATGATTTGAATAAGCACGAAGGGAATGAGTTTTTCTATCTCCGTTATGACTAAAAATGTTCTTAAATTTGAATATTTCATTTTAATTAAAAAAATTTTTAAGTCCCACGAAGGAACATTCCGAACTTTTTGGCCCTGACCCCCGAAACTTTGGAGCCATATAAATTTCGATTTAGGGGTCAGGGCCAAAAAAGCAAAAAACTGGCAATAGGTTATCGACCCTGTTCTACACGATGGTGCAAAAAAGATAACGAAATTTTCATATACAGTTCGGAATGTTCCCGTGTCAAGTAAGAAAAATGTAAATAAAAAATTAAGAAAACTTAAAATCGCAAAGAAATTTACACAATTAATTTTAAAAGTTATTTTTTGTTTTTCCCTAGCTTAAAAATATTCTAGATTAATTTAAAATTAATTTACCCATAATCAATAATTAAAGCAAAACCTCCATTTGTTGTAAATCTAAAATTAAAATTTTTAAATAAATTAAAAACAAAACTTTTTAATCATTTCGAGTGTAATTTTAGTTGTCAATGGACTATATTCCCATTTAGTTCTGGACAAATCATTTCTGATATGTTGGGGGATATATGCACGGGTGTGGATATTTTCACCTGAAAAACAAAAATTATTTAAAAATTAATAATTAAAATTAAAGATGTTCTATGTAATTCAAAAGGAAAAATATTCAGGAAGGAAGTGTACTTAAAAATTTAAAAAGTCAAACTTTAATTAGAAAAGATTGAACGCTCATAATTTGTGATATAAACTTCAAAAAAAAAATAAAAGACATTTTTATCAATAATATTTTAATTAAACTTAAATTTCCTAAAATTTCTTAACTTAAAATTTCCAAAAAATTATTTATTAAAATACCAGGAGATAATCCAAAACATAAATGTTTTTCAGTTAATATTTGTCCATCTTCTTCATCTATCTCAACATTTCCATTACTAGTAGTTAATTGAATATAAACTTCTTGCCAAATATTTGGTTTTTCTTTATTTCGAACAAATTGGTGGATTGGTAAAGCATCGAAAAATTCGTTTGAAATAAATATTGTAAACTTTAAAAAATAAATAAAATAAATTTTTAATTTATTGCCAGCCAACATAAGATTTAAAAAGTTAGAGTAAGGGTACTTTAAGGTTATTCGGGAATCTGGCCCTTTTAAATATTTTTAGCCAAATTAAAAAAATATTTTAATTTAAAAATAAAATTAAAAACCCCTTCAGGAACATCTTCAATAGAGTCAAACCAATTAATAGAAATTTGTTTATTCAATAATTGCTGTTCAAATATTTGTTTTTGTTGTTTAATTAATTGTGCCGATTTTTCGATTAAATAAACATTTAATTTATTATCAGATTTTAATTTATTCAAAACATTTAAAACATCAACCATTAAAGCACCAGAACCTGGGCCTAGTTCTACTAAATTCCAAGGCCCTTCCCATCCTGTCATATGTAATTCATTTAATAACCAGGCGCCGATCTAAAATTAAAAAAATATTTAAAATAATTTTAAATTAATTTTAAATGGGAAAACTCGAAGAAAAAATAGTTAAAAAACAAAAAGGAATTGTCATAGTTAAGATTATAAAACGCCCATTTTTAGCGCCTCATAAAAGGCGAGAGAGAATAGGCCAAATCAACTTACTTTCTCATTAATTAGTTCTGGGCCCGATCAAAAGTTGGCCTGTCCTCTCGCCTTTTATTTATTAATTATATTTGTTGAATAAAAAGGTTAAAAAGAAGGCCTTCGTTTTTAATAGGTGGATCGGCGCGCCCCAAGGGTGGGTTACCACTCTTGGGGCCCAACGCCGACTAACCCCCTGAAGAAAGGGGTTAGGGATATATAAGATGGCGCTCCTGTAATTTTCTCCATCTAATAAAAAAAATTCCTACTCCACCCAAAAAATATTGCTAAAAATATTCTTAAAATATTTTATTTAAAAAATCATTTCTTCTACCCATCAATCAACTAAATTTTGGCGAGCGGAAAAAATTATTATGTTTATTTATTAAACTAGTTTCTTTGGACTTCTTTTGCAGCAACGCGCAAATAGGCCGGAAGTGGGCAAATAAGAAGGAATTTGGAAACGCCAAAATTTTCTTATCACAAGAATAGCAGCGATCTCTTGTGACATTACAGCAGAAAATTTTGTGCGAGCAAGTTTTGGGCGTAACCAAATTAAGGAAAAAAACTCCTATAAAAAGGAATTTTTATCGAGTCAATTTGGCTCACATTTGATTAATAAAGAGCCGAAAAGGAGCGAAGGAAATTTTCATACACGGATTTGATCAAAGGATACACAAGGATTTCTCACACAGAAGGATTCATTCAAAAGATACACGGAGGGAACAAACGGAGCAGAAGGAAAATAAACACATAAGGGATTTCTGAGGATAATAACGAAAAAGAGAAGAGGAGACAAGGCTAAAGCGAAGGAGTTCAATTAGAGCGGCAAATTTTAGGTTGGAGTTGATTGTTAAGTCCGAAGCATTTGAAGTGAGAGAAGGATAAAGGTTGGGAAAGAAAAAGGACACTTATTCGCGGATTTTGGAAACTTCTGGATTTAATCTCTTGAATCAGGCCTCTTGTAGAATTTATAGCCAGTCTTGGAATAAAAGCTTAAAAAACGTGCACGTGGAAAAACAAATTGAGAAATAAGAGCTCGATCATTTTCCTAACAGATCAAAGGTGATTACTGCAGAATCACTTCTGGTTCCCCTACTGTGGGCGAAAAGCTAGCTAAAAGAGGAAATATTATTTGAAGTGTTAGGAAAAGTCGAGCATTGAAATAAAATTGGAAATTATAAAATAAATCAAGTCCGGACAAAGACTGTCTAGAGAAAATTAATAGAAGGCTTCTGATGAAAGAAGAGGATATTTCAGGATTAGAAGGGGACAATACGAAAGATAAAGGAAATATTATTGGTACGAGCTCAAGTGGACTTCCATACCCTACCTTTTTTGATGGCAATGGAGATTTTTTGAGCTATCTAAGGGCTTTCAACCGGATTGCGACTGCACACAATTGGACTCCCGCGAGATGTAGCCAAATATTGCCGCTTTATCTACAAGGGTCTGCACTAGCGATTTACGAATCAATGCCCGTGGATGAAAAATCGCGGTGGAAGACACTTGTAGAAAGCTTGGCAGGGAGGCTAAAAAAGATATCAAATAAGGAAAGCGCACGCAAAAAATTAGTGGAAAGAAGACAGGAAGTGGGCGAAGGATTAGAAGAATTTTCAAGGGATTTGATGAATCTAGTAGAAGCGGCTTATCCTGAGAATGCGTTTGGAATGGACCTTGCTTCACTTAAATTAAATGACGAACAAATGACAGGCTTGAAGGGGGAAAATGAAAAAATGGTCAAAAGGTTTAAAGAGGAGATTTGCATGGAAAGATTTAAGGCCGGACTCTTACCTGAACTTAGGGAAAAAGTTATTTTTATGAAAGCGCCCTCTTCTTTGGCCGAAGCAATAGCGCAAGCAAAAAGGGTTGATGAATTAAATCGAACAATTAAAGATGAGACAAGGAAAAGACTGGAGAAAATAGAAGTTAAGGAGGCGCTAGCGGAGGTTAATGAAGTTTGTGATCCATGCCAAAATGATGCACAATATTACTATGAGAAACAATTCATGGAGTCAAACGGATGTAGTGAGAATTGGGGAGAGGATGATGAAAATTGGGGTGAACAGATTGACCAAAATTTTGACCCATACTATGACAATGACCAATATTATGACGATGAAGGCCAATGGTTTCCACATGAGAGTAATGAGGACTGGGGAGAGGAATATTGTCAGGATCAAGGATATCAGAACTGGCCCACGGACGGAACAGATTTTGAGGAGTATTAAAAAACATTTGGCGACGGGATACATTTTTCGAAATAGACTTATTTGCTGACCCCCCAGGAGAGGAAGAGAAAGTGGATTTTGGCGTTTATTTTTTGACATTTGATTGGATTGGCGCTCCGTTGACACATACATAATTTTTTCCGTTTTTGCCAAAATTTTCTTGATTCAATACAACTAGTGCAGGAATTTGTTGAAGTGAAATTACGTTTTGCGCGGGATAGATTTGATTGCTAAAAGAATAGAAGCAAAGAATGAGGATGACAAAATCTTGACAAGAAGCACACCGGACTAGAAAGAAATGACAAACAAGAAAAGAAAGATTATTCAGATAAAGAAAATAAGAATTTCATTTCACATTTTCCGCACTTTTATTTATCCGCTTTTTCCGTTGTATCCCCCACCCCCGCGTATAGAATGTCATAGTTAAGATTATAAAACGCCCATTTTTAGCGCCTCATAAAAGGCGAGAGAGAATAGGCCAAATCAACTTACTTTCTCATTAATTAGTTCTGGGCCCGATCAAAAGTTGGCCTGTCCTCTCGCCTTTTATTTATTAATTATATTTGTTGAATAAAAAGGTTAAAAAGAAGGCCTTCGTTTTTAATAGGTGGATCGGCGCGCCCCAAGGGTGGGTTACCACTCTTGGGGCCCAACGCCGACTAACCCCCTGAAGAAAGGGGTTAGGGATATATAAGAGGAATTAATGCCATAAATGATAATTTAAAAAACAGGAAGTAACCCAAAAAATCAAAAAAGAAATAAATTTTAAATTTAAAAGGAAAATTAAACAAACCAATTCACCAAAAACTTGTGTTAATTCTGGCGAAGTAATAAAATCTCCTACAAAATAAAAATTAAATAAATTTATTTAAAAAATTCCAAACCTTCTCCATCACCAAATATTTTAGCCTAAATAATTTTTAAAAAACAATTTAAAACTTTTAAAAAAACCTTTTGTGCATAATACCCATATTGTGAAGATACACATAATTTCATATATTCTGAAACGCTTATTGGGCCAGTAGAACGTATTCTATCGATAATAAAACGTTCCAAAACATTTTCAGATTCAAAATTAAATTTTTTAGAAGAAGAGGCTGATGAGAAATTAATTGATTGGAAATTTTGGAAAAATCGAAAAATATTTTTTTCAAATTTTTTAAAAGTCGGAGGACGAAATTGGGTTGCAAACATTCTGAATAATTTGAAGATTTTTTAAATTAAAATAAATTTCTGAAGAAAAATTAGAAAATTGAAGAGTTTTTTGGAAGAATTTTGTCTAAGAAACTGAATCTTCAAAAATTAATCAGAAAATAAAAATTAATTTTGCGAATATTTGGCAATTAATTTATTTTTTGGCATTATGTTATTTATTAAAAGGGCAACTTGATCCTTTGTTCGTGACTCAGTTTTGTTTGTTTTTTAGTGTTTTTCGTAAATTTTGGAGGTTTAAAGTTTTATAAAATTAATTAAAATAATTAAAAGATTTAATTAACTAAAATGACGCGAACTTGTCCTTTTTGTAATTCGTCAGAAATTGAAGAAGATGCGGGAAGAGGTGATGCAATCTGTACAGGTTGTGGAGCTGTTTTAGAAGAATCAAATATTATATCTGATGTTCAATTCCAAGAACGTGGGGGTGGACAAGAAGTTATTGGTGAATTTTTAATCATTGTTTAATTGGATATTAAATTTCAAACTGATATATGGAAAAATCACTTCTCCCCATATGTTGTGTGTGGTGAAGTGGTTTAGGTCTAGGATGGATATTTAAAGGTTCATGGTTCGATCCTCTTCCTTGGTAGTTATTTATTCAATAAAGCATTAGACTCTTGCGTGGCTTTGCAAGATATTCGCGAAATTTGAATCAGTTTTAATTTATTCTTAAATTAGTTTGGATCCTGTTGGTAACTTTTTGTAGTTTAAGATGTTACACATTACTTTTTTTCGTTTTTTCATTTTTAAATTAATTCTTGTAGGTCAATTTGTTAGTAGGGATCGAGCTCAGCCCACCTGTCTTGGAGGAATTAATGGGCTCCCTCGAACTGAATCTCGAGAAACAACCTTTCAAAGAGGACGTAAACGTCTACAGGAGGTAATTTAATACTGAAGATTAATTTTATTTAATTATTTACATAACTTTTCAGTTTATTATTATTAAAATTAACCTTCTTTTTTAAAGGTCGCTAATCAACTTCGCATTAATCAACACTGTGTTGAACTTGCATTTGGCTTTTTCAAAATGTGTGTTACCAAAAAATTAACTAGAGGTAGACTTCGTTCTCATGTTGTTGTTGCTTGTTTGTACATGGCTTGTAGAAGTGAAAATACTTCTCATTTACTTTTGGATTTTAGCGATGCTACTCAGGTTTTTTTCAAAAGACTTTTTAACTTTTTTATAAATTTTTTCAGATCAACATTTTCGATCTCGGCCGAACACTTGGCTTTCTTTCGCGATCTCTTTTTATAAAACTTCCTCCAACAGATCCTTGCATTTATGTTCTTCGGTTTTCTGCAATGCTTGATTTTGGTGATAAACAAAAAGAAGTATTGAGGGCCTCTTAATAGTTTTAATTTAAAATTTTTACAAATAGATTGCTCTCTTGGCTACACGTATTATTCAACGAATGAAACGCGATTGGATGTCCACTGGTCGTCGCCCAACTGGAATTTGTGGCGCTGCGTTATTGTTAGCATCTAGAGCCTTTAATTTGAACAGGTAGAGTGATTGTTAAATTACTTTAGTCTTCATTTAAAATTTTTATAGGTCTGTAGCTGATATTGTCAATATTGTTCATGTAAGTCATGGCGTAGTCAAACGTCGTCTTGATGAATTTGCGAATACCCCCTCTGGTTTATTAACTATAGACGAATTCAACAACGTCGATTTGGAAGAAAGTGAAGATCCTCCTGCATTCCAAGAGTCAAAAAAGAAAATGATTGAAGAAGAAAAGCGAAAACGAGATGAAGAAAAAGCGGCGGATTCTGCTGTAAACGAGGTATAAAAAATTTGTGGATTTATTTAAAAAATCAACAAAGTCCTTTTGTTTTGTATACACGCAATCCTATTTTTTTGTTAATTTGCTCTCCCTTTAGTTTGAACCTTTACGTCGTGAATTTGAAGTAGAACTCCAAAAACGTCTCAAAAATTCCCCTTATGCAAAAATGATTGTTGGAAATATTGCTGATCAAGGAGTACCAGAATTGTCTAAAGCAAGTTGTATTTTGCGTGATGAGATGATGGACACTGTTTTTGAACTGGCAGAAGAACATTCACCTTCAACAAGGTTGTCGAGAGTTTTTTTCGTCGTGCAAAAATCAAAAGTTATCCATTATATATTTTTGTGCTAGAATTAAGTTGGGCCCCGGGATAACAAACATTATGTTTATCTAGGCCAGAATTTATTTATGAATAGGGTTGGGGACCCGTTCCAATCGAGTCGGGCTTCGAATTTTAGCCCGAATGAGACTCGGCCGATAAAAATGATGCCTGAAAAAAATGACTCGAACGTCAGCCCGGCTCGTAAACCCCAACCTTACTTATGAAGGAAAAATGTATATCTAATAAAGGGGAACCCTAAAACTCGGTATCCAAGAATTTTTATTAATATAGTGTGAGAATAGAAAAAAAATAGTATAGGCAATAGATGTTTAAATTTATTCTAATTTTTGTTTTCATTTCCAGTTCCTATTCCGAATATGGCCCAACATTAGAATCACTTGGTTTAAAACCTTCTTATAGTCAACAAGTTGAAAGAAAAATAAATGAAACAATTAAATCAGATTCTAATAATACTGAAGGGGATGGAAATTTGGATCTTACAGGTTTTTTTTCTTTTAAATTTTTGATAAAAAAATATTTTAAAATTTTGAAGGAATTGATGATGATGAAATCGATTCTTACATTTTAACGGATACAGAAGCTTCAATTAAATCAAAATACTGGATGGCTCGCAATTCTGAACATTTACAATTAATGGCAGAAAAGTATGTTTTTACATAATTTAAATTTTGAGAAATTTTAGTAACGAAATTTTTCGGGTCCTTTTATTTGAAAATATTTTTGTTTCAAAATTTTTGCTAAAATAAAAAATCCGATTTTAAAATCTATCGACATCTTGTCGTTATGACTAAAGGGTACTGATCCCAAAATAATTTTAAAAAGGTTTTAACTCAAAAATTAAATTTATAAATTAATTTAAGGCGTAAAATAAAAGAAGAGGCACAGAACATCAAAAAAGAGAAAACCACTACTCAACCACAAAGAAAAAAACGTAAACCAAATTCAAATTCTGCACTCAAAAAAGAAGCAAGTGATCCGAACGAGGCAATGCTCCAAGTGATAAAGGTTTTTTTAAATTTTGAAAATATTTTAAAAATTAATTTTAGGAGAAAAACTTGTCAAATAAAATAAATTATGAGATTCTGAAAAAAATTGAAGAAGAATTTTGATAAAAGATTGGTAAAAATTGAAGGTCGTTACTCCCTCATTTTTCCTCAAAATTAATGTAACATCTATCTTGAATTTGCCTATCGATAGTTCGGTCCCACATTTACATATAACAAGTTCGTTTTCCGTTAAGTAGTTGAAGCTCTGAAAGCCATACAAGTTAAGGAAGAAAGCAAAGTCTGGCCATTTTTAAATTTTGAGGAAAGAAAAATGAGAGGGGGTATACAAACTTCAATTTTACCATGTAATTAACCAAAACCTGTTGTTTTATATATTTAGTAGAAAGTTTGTTATAAAATAATTTTTAACACATTCTTGAATAAAATAAAAAAATAATAATTCTTTAACGTTTATCAAAAAAAGATGGCAACAAAAACAATAAAAAGCCATGAACAATTACCAGAAAATTGCTTAATAAAAATTTTTTGAGTATAAAAAGAATTTCAATTATTTTATTTTTATATTTCTTCCCTCTCAGTTTGACTTATACCCGCCTGTTTTGCCAATTTAAAGAATAAAGAATCAGAATCCCTCAATAGAGCATTGGGTGAATCAAATTCAGCCACTCTACCAGCATCCATTACAAGTACACGATCATAATCAATAATTGTATTTAAACGATGAGCAATTGTTAATACCGTGCATTCTCTAAAATGAAAAATTTTAGAATTTTCCTTTCAACAAAAATAGGTATGTGGAAAGGGATTTTTGTTATTGAGGCAAAAATTTGTTTAGATTCCTGACTTAATTTTCTTCACAAAATAAAAAACCAACTTAAAATGACTGCGTATAGATAGTTGAATGCGAGAATCTGTCTCTGGATCAATCGCCGCTGTCGCTTCATCTAGAACCAAAATACACGTTTTTTGTCTGAGAACAGCTCTTGCCATACAAACAAGTTGACGTTGACCAACACTTAAAAGAAGAAAATTTATTCTTTTCTTCAATATTAATTTTTAAACCTTAAATTAGCTCCACTTTCAGCAACTTTGTAATCTAAACCTCCCTCAATTTCACGTATTGTCTCTGCAAGATGTGCTTTTTCTAGAGCTTCCCAAAGAGATGCATCTGTGTAATCATCAAATGGATCCAAATTTAAACGAAGAGTGCCACAAAAAAGAACAGGATCCTATAAAATTATTTAAATTTTATTTGAAGTGGCATTTCTAGAAAACAAAAAACTAGGAATAAATACCAAGGGTGTAGCTAATGTAAGAGGTAAATTTCAGGGTGGGGGCTAAAATGGTGCGCGTCAAAATTTTGGCATTTTTAATCTTTTTTGAACGTATATTTAGCCAGCCCCCTTCCCCAAAAATAAATATTATGTCACTGGGACATTTCATTCAGAAACAATATAAAAGCATTCTCAAAGTTCAATTAAATCTACCTGAGGTATTATAGTTAACGAACTACGTAAGTCATGCAAACCCAAAGTACAAATATCAATTCCATTAATTAAAATCTTGCCAGAGCAGGGATCAACAATTCGAAAGAGTGCTAAAGTTAGTGAGGATTTTCCTTTAAAGTAAAAAAAATTAATTAGAATCATATTTTTAATTCATTTTACCAGCTCCAGTACGTCCAACAATTCCAACTTTTTCTCCCGCCCGAACATCAAAGCTAACATTGTTTAAAACCAAATCCAATTCGTTTCTATAACGCAAACAAACATCTTTAAATTGAAGGTGCCCAGCACCAGATGGTGGCCAATTTCTAGATTCATCTATTGTATTCCATTCTGGCTCTCTTTCATTATTAATATATTCAGAAACTCTTTCAATGCAAACCATCTGAACTTCAGATTCACGCCAAACTCTAGCAATTTGTCCCAAATATCCAGTAAACTGAAATTTTTTTAAATAAATAAAACATTCAAAGTAAAAAATATACAATATATCCATTGTTAATAACCATAGCCAAAACACCGAGAGATATCCATTTATAATCTGCCATTATAATAGCGACAAAAACGCAAATAAAAATAGCACAGTCACTTATAAAATCTAACCGGGATTGGAGCCATCTAAAAAAGAAAAAAAGTAAAAAGCTTCAATTTTAATATTAAAAAATACCTGTTAGTGTAAATTTCTGTAATAAGACTTTCATTCATAAAATCACAAATATAAACATTTTTGTCACGGAATCGCTCAACAACATTAAAAACACGAATAGAATCAGCGCCCGTATGAGAATCTTGGAAGAAGGAACAATTAGACGAAACTGCTTTGCTTGTTAAGCGACGAAAATGAACAGAGGCAACGTTGTAAAAATGCTTTAAAAATAAATATTTGTTAAAAAATTAATAACTTACAATAATTCCCAAGAAAACTGTTAATAAGGGTACAACAACAAATACAAGAACTGGAATTACCACACAAATAGCAATTAATGAATTCAATGCTTCAGCAAAAACGCTCATTGCATAAGATGTGGCCCAAGGAATATTTTCATCAATTCTAGCAATATCATAACTCAAACGATTCATTATTCGTCCCATTGGGGTTTGATCAAAAAATGCCATTGGGCTGTGAAATAGAGAACTAACAAGTTTTCCGTGGAAATATGTACTTGCATTATAGGCACCAACTGTGAAATTTTTTTAGTTATTTTGAAAAATGAAAAGATCGATAATTAATATTTTTTAACTACCTGCTACTACGATGCTACAAATTGCGGAACTGATAACTAAAGAAAGTAGTTAGAAGAAATAAAATTTTAAAATTACTAGAGATTAAATTAAAGCCTCCATAAATAAACAAATGATTCAATGAATCAGCAGTATTGTTGATAGCGGCAGATGACCATTTTGCTAACCAAACACTAGATAAAGCCTCGGAAGTGCTGACACCAAAAAATGTGAAGAAAAAATAAATAATTGCCAAGAAAATTCCAAATGAACGACAATAGACAAGATATACACGACGAGAGACCTTTTTAAAGAAAATTAATTTACTATAAATTTAATAATTTACAATTCCAGTTGCCAATTCTTCCTCTTTTGTTAATCGACCAATAACTTCTGTCCATTCTGGTCTATCTCCAACATATGCGTTGTCACTAATATCTGATACACCTCCCTGTTGATGCATCGATTGATGAGAAGATTGATGTGACACCTAGCAAGAAATTAAGATGAATTAAAGTAAATCTGTATGGAAGGTCAGGTTGACTTATATCGCAATAATGGATCTATCATATAGCTCACTTTTAAAAAAAATTAAATACCCGTGTTTCTGAAGGTTTTGCTTTAGATTCTTCCGCCTTCACCATCTCTTTCGGCTGTTGATTTTCAGAACTCGCTAATTGTTGCTCGAGAATTCTACGACGTTCAAGCAACGACTCACTTAGGGGAGATCCAGATAACTGCCCAAGGACTTCACTTAATTCCGAATCTTCTTCATCATCAAGAGTCACTAAAGAATATTTGTAAACATATTAAAAATATTTTATATTTATAACCTTCCAATGTGCTCGACTTTTTGCTTCTCTGACTCTCTAATTTTTTCTCCATAAATTCCCTTATTAAATCAGCAAAAGGCCCTTCTTTTTGTTCAGATAACTGCCTTAATGTACCAACATCATATATTTCTCCCTCTAAATTAAACAAAAAATAATCTATTCAGAAAGTTTTTCTTACTATCCATGACAACGATCCGTGTACAATATTGAAGGAAAGCCAACGAATTTAGCGCCCATAAACGAGTTTTATTTGCAAGAAGTCCTAATAAATATCATATACAAATAAATGATTTCAAAAATAACCTTTTTCCCCAATCACATTCGCAAAAATAGCTGCCCCAACGTGTGCATCAACAGCAGAAAGTGTATCATCCAAAACATATAGTTCTGCATCCATATAGACAGCGCGAGCCAAGGCAACACGTGCTTTTTGGCCGCCAGATAAATTTATCCCCTAAAAATGAAAAGTCATGTTTCAAGAGAACGAGCCATATTGCGAAAATAAAAAATAGATGTTTACCTTTTCTCCAATTTCAGTAAAGTCACCAGCCTGCAATAATTTTAAGTCTTCGCCCATCGAACAAGCATTAATCACAGATGTATATTTGCTCTCATTAAATGGTGAATCAAAAAGAACATTGCTACGAAGTGTCTTGTTTTGAATCCAAGGTTGTTGAGGTACATAACCAATAGATTTCGCTCTAACAATTGCCTCTCCTTTATCTTCCATTCGCTCCATTTCTCCAAGGATTGCAGAAAGAAGAGAAGATTTTCCTGATCCAACACGGCCAACAACTCCAATCAGTTCTCCAGGCTGAATCTCCAAGGAAATATTTTTTAGTTGTAAATTTGGATCTGGGACATTTACGCCAGTCCAGCTAAATGAGCAGTCACGAAGAGAAACTAAATAAATTTTTAAAGTTAAAACTTGTCAAAAAATGACTTGTAAGCATAAAACTATAGTATTTTAAAGGACTAACCAATTGGGAGTGCTGGATCATGAGCTTCTCTTAAAATATGGCTTGGCTGCATCTCTTCAGCGTTTAAAAATTCAACCAAACGTCTGGAACTCACCCAGGCCTTAATTGAATCAGTTAAAAGTCGTGGAAGCATATAAATTGAGATACGCAACATTCCAAAAAATAAAAGAGAAACGAATGCAACATCTTTAGAAATTTTTTTAAATTTTATTTAATTAAATCAAACCTGGACGTAAAGGATTTCCTTGAATAACTGTATAGCCATAGAAACTGATGAGAGTAGCCTGAAAGAAACGGAAATATTTATATATCGAGGCGATAATTTCGGGATCAAAAAATTAAAAAAAAATAAAATTTGTTAATGGAGTGTCCATCCCGATGTCTGACAGCCGAAATATAGTTTATTGTTAGAATAAAAATTTTCAACATGAATTTAGAAAGAGTCAAAAAGGATCAAAGTTTAAAACATACAACAAGCGGTGCAAGTTGAAATGAAACATTAATTCCAGCATCCATCAAAAATACTTGACGTAACACATACAATTCTCTTTTACGAAGTTTAGCAATCAATTGTTCCATAGATTCTTCCCAGGCATACAATTTTAATACTCTCATTCCACTTAAGACATCATTTATTAATTTTAGACGTTCATCTTTGATTTTCAAAAGTTTATCCTAAAAATTTTCATTACAAAAAATTATTTTTAAAAATACTTCCAAACGAGTACTGATCTTAGTTAGAGCATAATTGACAGGAAAAACAACGACAAGTATTACAACCCCATAAAAAGCATTAACACCAAGCTCCATGTAAAGACCAAAGAAAGCAATTATAAGCTAAAATTCATTTAAGTTTTTTAAAATTATTATAAAAATAAAACCGTTAATGGGCAATTGATAAAATAACAGACATCGAAGAAAATAGAACGAATATGATAGACGTCATTATTTAAATAATTCTGAATTTCCCCAACAGAATATTTAATTTTGCTTGATGGTGAAAGGCGAATCATCTGTTTAAAAATTAGAAAATTTATATTTCTAAATAATCAAAAAATAAAATTTGTGTTCTTGACATTATAATATTAACGCCCCAAGTCTATTACTAACAATAAATAATAGAAAATTAGGCCCAAAAATTAAATTATTGGGAAGCCCAGAAGCTTTGGAAACTGCCTCAATGAAGAGCCTGTCCCAAAAATACGTTTACACCATGTTGGATTACAAAAACTGATTAAAAACCTTATCAAAAATAACACTTGTTAATATAGAACGAAGATTCAAATAAGCACGAAATGATGCAAAATCTCTTCTAACAGTAATCAGCTTGTCACCGAAATCGGTAAAGAACAAAAACACCATAAAAGTTAAAGAAAGCCAAACTGGATTTCCTGCTGTTACAGAAAGAACAATCAATCTAAAAACATGCTCAAATTTGTAAATTTAATTAAAAACCTAAGAAATATAGCATTTGCATAATTTCCAAGAACAACAAAAACTGCCGCTATAACACACAAACAATTCCATTCCCAAACACAAAGAAAACAACGGAAGAGAAACAAAGCTGGATTGAGTTTTCGTCCTGCACATACTCGTTGAAGTCGGTGCCAACGACTGCGCAAATATCCTGCTTGAAAGCTTAAAAGAAAATTATATTTAAAATTTAGAATAATTTTTTGAAAATTTTAAGAAATTAATTCGATTTGAAAAATAAAATTAAATTTAAAAACCATTTATCCAAAATCCAAAGATCATCAAAATCAACAGATCCACGTAAACCTCGCCAAATCATTTGTCCAGTATACCAAAAGAAAAGACAATTGAGTGCAGAAGATGAATTTTCTGGGCATTTTTTCTTCTCTTTTCGCCCTTCTTGGCCATCTAAACGTTGGTATTGGGCATCAGTTGAAGTTGTCGAATCCGCCCAACAAAGCAAAAAAGTCATCAAAGTAGCCAACAAAAATTGACTTAATGAGCAATAATTTGAAGGGACTTCGTTAAATAATCTTTGAGTATTTGCAAATGAAAGAACAGTATCGGGAATGAGTGAAATGAAGCGTAGAGCCCACGCCAAATGTAAAAAACCGCTGCTAACAATTCCCAAACAAATACATTGTCCATAAACTATTAGCAGACAAAAAGTGATAGCTAAACCAATAAAAACAGAATTTTGCTGCTAAAAATAAAAGTAAACATAAATTATAGAAATTCAATTAAACCTCAGGTAGAACCGGTGAAGGGCCTAAATAATCAGGCCAAGCAAAAAGTAAAACAACATCCACCAAAGAAGCAAGGGCGGCGAAAAATGAAATCAACTAAGGAAGGAAAAAATATTTAGAAAATTAAATATTATATTACGTGAAAGAAAATATATATAAAACCCCGAAACAATAAAAAAAGAATTCAAACTAAAAATACAAACCGTCTTTAAAACAACCAGCTTTCCAATATACAATCGACATCCATTAAGCGTTTCTCTAAAGAAAAAATTCTGGACACACAAGGCAATAAAAGCTGTTAAAGCCATCACAATAGGCAAAGAAGGAATCAAAACTTTTGCCAAACATGGTGAAACTATTTGCTCAAAAGTTGAGTTTGGAGAGATTGGAAGCTAAAAAAACAAAATTTAAACAAGAAAAAATTTAAAAAAACATACAACTGCAGGCGTAGAACAAAGTTCAGTTCTCGATATTAAAAGATTGATACTTGTAAGATGTGGCAAAGACATTTTTAAATACTGAAAATTAAATTTAAAAATTAAAAGAAAATAAAGCATAATGAGTAGAAGGACAGATTTTAGAAAATTAAGAAATTTCTTAAGAAAATTCGGGCATGCCAAAATGGTCAGAAAATGAAATTATTACGATAGAAACATAAAACAAAAAGTTTGAGAATGGGATACTAATATCTGCTTTTAGATTCTTAACCCTCATATTTAGTACATATTTAATTTTTTTACCTAAAGATGATGAAATAGTAATTGTTTAGGTCCTTAAAATCTGTCAGGGAAATTAAATATTTTCTAAAAACATTTCACAATAAACAATAATTTATTATTTATTTACAAAGATCGTCTAGGCAACAAAGAGAGAGAAGGTAATGCAAACCGAATGGAAAAAAATTAAAATTGATAAATTTACCCATCAATAAAAAACAAAAAAATTTGATTAAAGAAAAATCTTTTTTTTATTTAATTTAAAGCAAACTTATAGTTAGCTTTCTAATCAATAAGATATAAATAAATAAATGATGACTAAAAATGACAAATCTGGAATAAAACAAAAATGTGTAAAAATAAGCAATATTTATTAAAATAAGTTTTTAAAAAGCTTTAAAACAAAAAAACGGGTAAATGACTGAATATATTTTAAGATGAAAATAAAGGTGTAGTTTTATACTCCAAAATTAATCCTTTTTTGATTTATATATGTAGGTTACCAAAAGGGAATTGGGAGGGAATACCCGAATAATATTCACAAAATATGTGGCAACAAAAGACTAGCAAATCAATTTTTTCCTAACATATTTTTAACTTCTTTATCATATTGCCTTAAGACAACATTTAAATATTAAAAAGCTTGGAAAACTTGACTGATCAAACCAGTTACCTAATTACTAGTGAAATGGAGTTTTCGATAACGGTAACACCGAAATTTATTGATACCGCCAAATTTTTCCTGGAAATTATGTATTTTGGACAATTCTGACTGATTTGTTAAATATTTTTACAAAATAAACTTCGAAAACTAAACAATTTAGACATAATAAGCTCCATTCCAAACCAAGGAATTTTTAATTTCTTCATTACATCCTTCTAATTGATAAGGGCAATGTCTACATCCATTTCCACAACATCTTCCATCATATAAATGTTTGGAAATTGTGTCAATAATAAAACCAGTAAAAGGACATTTATACCTTAAAATTATTTAACTTGAGAATTTTTTTAATTAAAAATTGAGGTTCTCCTAACTAAAAGGGATTTCCTTTTTTGAATCTGACTGTTTAGTATCATTCTAGTCGACTGAAAAATTAGATGAATATTTGATTTTATATGAAAGGATAGTTAACATTAACGCTGATATAGGAAAAGTTTAGGAGCAGTTTCGAGTAGAGCCCAAACTAAGAGTGTGGCAATCCAGGAGAATTGGGGTCCCTGCGAAAAAAAAGTTTAAAAATAAGAGAAATGATGTTTCTAGGGTAAAAAAGTATGCTGATTACGAATCTGAACTCAGATTTTGAAAAAGTCGAATCCCGACCCGAATATATGTCCTCGAATATCGAAAAACCATAGGGGGGACCAAGCTGATTTTGGGGTGAAAAATTCGATATGCAAATTATACCTCATTCGAAAGAGCTCTTCATTCTGAGTCGAATGACACCAAAATCACCGTGATTGAACAAGATCGGACGAAGTTATACCACAACAAACAAACAACGTCAACCTATGTTTTTTGTGTCATAACTTTGTCAAAACTTGTCGGATTACGTTGATTTTGGTGTCATTCGACTCAGCTCGTCGAGCTCTTTCGAATGAGATATTATATGACCAAATTGCGCTCTGTTTATTTTTCGGAATTTTTCCCAAAATGTCAAATGTCCGAATTTCGGGTTCGGGATTCGACTTTTTCAAAATCTGAGTTCAGATTCGTAATCAGCATACTTTTTTACCCTAGAAACATCATTTCTCTTATTTTTAAACTTTTTTTTCGCAGGGACCCCAATTCTCCTGGATTGCCAAGAGTGTCGTAAGAGAATCGAGATCTAGAACAAATCTCGATCTCGATAAAGAGATTTTTTATCAAGATCTCGTGAGCCGAGTTTAAACACTTACAGGGGAAAGTCAGAGTTATTTTTTAGTACAATGTTCTTGATTCAAATTTCTAGATAGTATTTTGATCAGTTAGTGTTTTTTATGTTGTCCGTCTTTTCCCAACCAAAAATTCAAACTTGGGTTGATATAAAAAACTAACCATAATTTCCTTTCTTCAATAGCCTTAAAATGTTTAATATAAATAGTTCTTTCTTCGCTAGTCATTTTATTATAACAAAGCCATGGAACTCTTTGTCTTTTCATTGTTTCTTCAAAAAGCACATAATCAGCAAGAAGTTCTCCTTTTGGGCCAGGAATTAATGAATAAATTGGACGTCCAATTCCTCTACTTGGAGCAAAATGGGTTGGGAAAGCATTTTCTTTATCAAGTTTAATTACTTGTTTTGATTGTTGTATAGCTGGTTCTAAAAAATAATTTTTAAAATCTAATAATAATATACCTTCTTGAACTGCAGCAGTTGATGCATTTTTGAATTTATTTAATTTTAGAGGCAATTTTGAAAGATAAATAATTCTTTTAAATAACATTTAAACTAATTAAATCGTCTAATAAAAGAAAAAAAATTACAAAAAATCAGTCAATTTTATCAAAAAAATAAAAATCTTTTCAAATTTTAATTAAAAACAGAATGCCAAAAATAATTAAGAGTTCCGTTAAATCAGAGAAAAATAAATTAGACACAAAGAAAAGTTGAGAGGTCATCATTCATTATAATTTTTAGAAATTGATCGTTTACTTTGGAATTTTTTAGGCTCTTTTTACTATGATTAATTTTTTCTGATTGTAATCTTTTTTCCCTTCAATCGTTTGAATCTAAAATAGAAAATTATTTTTTAACAATTTTTTCTCGTTTAATTGTGGGTTAAAAAAATATTTTTTTCAAAGACTTTTTTTTTGAATAATTTTTGATATTTTCAGATATTTTGTAATGCAACGTTCATGCCCTTATTGCAATTCTTTATTTTCTTCAAAATATTCTGGAGGAAAACTTAACAATAATTCTGAATTTGGATTTTCTTGTTCAAACTGTGGCGCTATTTTGGAGGAAGATGAGGAGGAAAAACAGGCAAATTTAGAAGATAGAACAAATTTGGATTATGATGGGGACGATGCTTTGACAAATGGTTAGTTTATTTTTAAATTTATTTTTTAACCTGAAAAGTGTCTCATAATTCTCATTTTTTTGACAAAATTAATTTTTAGTATTTTTATAAGACATTTAAAGATATAAATTATAAAAAATCTGATTTTGATTAAAATTCTCGGTAGGAGAACTTTCGGTAAATGAAAATCCTTTTTCTGTCAAAAATCATATCTGGGCACTTTTCGGGTGTTTTTAATTTTAAACTTTTTGCTTTAATTATAATTATGTATGTAAAAACCTTGGATTTCCATTAAACTAACTTAAATCTAAAAAATATTTTTAATTTTAAAAATAATTTTTTGACAGTCATTTCTTTAATTCTGTCAAAGAACATATACTAATATTTTTATTTCTATTTTTACTGATTTTTTTATCTCTTAATTCAATTTTTTAATTAAGAGATACATAGATTCGACATTTTTATTTTCCCAATTATACATATTTTTTTGTTTATTTTTTTGTTTCATATATTTTTTGTTTCAATTTTCTGACAGTGGGAAAATATGCAAAACTTTTTATTTTCTTTAAATTATTTCCAAAATAATTTACAAAAATTTTCCAAATTATTTTCATTGATTACTTAAATGTTCCTCATATTTTTTTAAAAACCTTTTAAATATTTTATTTTCTTTGCTTTCCCTGTTTTTGTTGTTTATTTTAAAATATTCTCTAATGAGAGTTTTGGTGTCAACAAAAATTCTTTTTGTTATTGTCTTTTTAACTCTTCCAGTCACGAATTTTTTACATCCGTTTTTTTTGGAAATTTGGGAGAAGGGGGATTGGGTTTTAGAATATTTTCAACATTGTTTTTTGAATGAACAATAGAAAGCAAAAATGAGTGCAGAGGAAAATCAAAAGCTTTGGGTGCTTTTTTATTTTAAACTTTTTTTCTCAGTTTTTAATTTTTTTAAACAAGAGCTTTATTTATAAACAAAAAATTAAATTGTTTGACTTAATACTTAAATAGGTCTTTCGATGGTTGTTATAGCTTAAGGTTATAGATTAAGGTTGTTTTCGACTCTGCTCTACACGATGGTGCAAAAATAAATACAAAATTTTCACATACAGTTCGGGATGTTCCCTTGTTAGGAAATCACTTTTTATTTTATGTTCTCATCGATGCCCTTTCTTAAAAGTTTTTCTTCTCATTTACTTTTTAATCTCCTCTTTGCTCTTAAATATTTTTAATAGACTTTTAGTATAATAAATCCACTTTAGGCGCATTAAAAATTTAAATTAACTAGGATTATTGGATAGGATTGAGGCTTTCTTGCTGCATAATGCAAAATTATTTTAATTATATTTGTGTAATGGAAAACTTTAACTCATAATAATGCCTTTAATATTTGACTTTGGGAAAAGGCCACACGCATTTTGAATATTAAGTGAATCTTTAAGTAAATTTGTCTTTGAAAGGATATTTTCTTGAATTTATTTGTTAATACACAAAGACAAATAATTCTTTTTTAGTAAACTTTTAATTTGTCAATTCATCTTCATATATTTTTATTAATATTTAAAATATTTCCTTTAAAAAATAAATACCCTCAAAATGTCTCTCAACAATAAAATTATTTATCCAAATAAAAATATCCAAACATATTCACCTCCTTTAACATCTCAAAATCAACATCCTTCATTAATTCATCAAAAAAGTTTTGCTTCAATTCGTCAATTTGTTCTTTCAAATAATTATTTTAAACAACAAAAAGAAGAACAAAATCAAAAATTTCCTCGTTTTTCTTCTATTAGAAGACGAAAGAAAATTTTAGATGAGGAAAATGGCAACAAAAATGGAAAAATTAAAAGAATTCCTTCTGTCAGAAAAGTTGGCGTTTGCCATGGAAAGAGCAATAATCTTGATTGGCGTTCAAAAAGTGTTGCTGGTCTTAAATCTACTAATACAGCTACCAATAAGTTGTTATTAAAATTAATTTTTAAGTGATTTCTTTTTTGGTTGTTGACCATCCCTAATTCCGATACGATCGGACATGAAGAATTTTTCTTTAAAATTATTTTTTCCCGACTTTGATTCCTTATCGAGAACCAACTTTTTAAATCTAACAAAAATAATACAAGCTTTATATTTAATAAATTGTAAGAACTCCAATTGCCGAACAACGCAAATATTCATTAACTCTTATTTCACAAAAAGCAAAAAAGTCAATGCAACGCAAGTTAAGTGAATTAGCCAAAAATGATTCCAATTTTGTTACTCAAACAATTGGAAGAATAGTTCAACAACAAACTTCTTTAGATAAACAACAAAATTGTGAACATAAAAGTGGGTAATTTAATTGAGTTGGTAGATTTAACTATTTTTCCGAAATATGTTTTATTTTGCTATTAAATTATTTGGGGAGGGGGGGGGGTTGTTGTGGGTATTTTAATTTATACAATTTTTTCGAAATTTTATGTCTACTTGATATTTCAATTTTTACATTTTTTCTTTTTATCTTTAGTTCAATTTCTTTTATTACAATTTTTTGTTTTTTTTAATTCGTATACATCATTTTTAAATTAATTTCATTTTTTAAACTATTTTTCTATCCTTATTATTTTAAAAATTTGTTTTTGACAATAAAAATTAAAAATGAGTCAATTTATTTAATAAATAATAAATAAAAGATCCAGGAAACCAAATAAAAAATAGACAGGAAGGAACTCACACAAAACAGTAAAATAGTCAAGGATTCTTTATTTTTTTAAATACAATTAATATTCTTTTTAATTTTTTATCAAGAAAATTTTCTATTGCTCAATGTCCTTTGGGGGATTATTAATTTTTCTGTTAATTTTCGTTACAGTTAAGAATTTAATTTTAGATTTTCTTTTTCTTATTTTCTTGTTGCATGACACGTTAAAAATTATGTTTAACCTTATTCTCGTGACCACCACAAACTTAAATTTATTTTTACTTTTCTCCCACTTTATTAACTTTAGTTTTTCTTTTTTTAATTTATTATTTTTATTTTTAAATAAATTGTTCCATAAATTTTATATCTTCGCTTCATTTATTTTTCTTTATCCACATATTTGTTCATTTATTATTTCCGCTTATGAACAATTCAGGAACTTTTCTTTAAGGGGTTTTTCTTATGAATTCAAGTTTGATTTTTACGTATACAATTTGGAAATAATTTTTAATAATTAAAAATTATTTTTTTCTAAACATTTTTATGTGTTTTTTAATTAATTTATTAACGTGTTTATTTAGTTTCTCTATATTTTTCACTTAATATTTTTATCATTTTCAAAAAAATGTGAAGAAACCCCTCATTTTTTACATTAAAAATCGTGTTACTTTTTTTTCTAATATTTAAGGAATGAAAATATACTTGACAGAATATTATTTTTGTGGGGATATTGATAAAATTGAGGGATTAAATACTTAAATATTTTTTTAAATTATTTAAATACACAGGCGCGCGACTTAAAAGCGACTAAATAAATTATAAAAAAAAGTCAATTGATTGAATAAATGAAGCTATATAATTGTAAATGCTTACTTAATAAGTATTAAATGTTGTTAGGCCATATTTGTAATTTTAACGTTAAATGTGCTCGCGCAACTAAAAACTCTTCTCTCTCTTTTTTTCCTTTGGGATTAAATGTGAGTGCTTCTATTATTTTAACTTTACGAGATTTTCTTTTTAATATTTTTTTCTTGTTGACAGTTTTATTTAAAACTTTTATTTTTTAATTTGTTTTAATCTCGACTTTCTTTTTTATCCAAGAGACTCGGAAAGTGCCGTAAAAGGTGTACAGGGGATATTTGTTCGTTTATTTTAAAATACAGTATTTTAGTTCAAAATTTGTTAAAACTACATACTACTTTTTTGATACATACTACTCTTATAGTTTCTTATATTCAGAATTATAATTTGATTTCCTCCTAAATTTATGCGCAAGTTTTTTCTCCATATTTTTTCGAATATTTAAACTAAATACTGGATTCTTACAAAAAACTAATTTCCTTAATTTTAATTTTTTTTTAAATTAATTTAGCGGAAATAATATGTATGTAGTATATGCCCCTAATAAATAAATATTGGGAGAACATCAAAGAACTGATGACCATGAATAAAAAAAGAAGCACCAAACAAAAACGGTTGGCGCCAAACTAATAATAAAAAGAGGAAAAGGTGCGCTTTTTGTTTGGTGCTTCTCTCTTCCCCTTTTTGTTTTTTTTCTTTTCTATATGTATTTTTCACACCTTTTTGTCGGCATCAATAACATTATTTTTATTTCCTTTTCTAAAAACAACACCACTTTTTTGCGTTTCGTTTTTGTGTTACTCATTACCTTTTTCATTGTTTCCGACTAATTTTTTGCATGGATGAAGGAAATGAATTATATATACCGTATTCCCTCTAATAGTACTGCCTGCATTACAGGAATACGATATTTATTTAATGACCCTGCCGACAAAAAATTAAATTATAATTCTAATTTTGACGGAGAAATCCCTGGATTTTTTTAAATTTAATACAGATGATCTCTACTAAAAATAATATTTTTAATTTTAATTCCTTATCCAAAATTATAATTTAAATTTATAGTCTCCATATTTTTTATTCCTTTACTATTTATATTTTAAAATAATTTTTATTTTCTTTAATATTATTCTATTTTTGTCATATTTTTAAATTTAATTCTATTTTGAACATTTAAACTTTCTTATTAAATATTTTCTTTATTTTACTTATATATTTTCATAATTTCTCGCTGCTTTAGTCTCTTCTTAATCGTTTTATTTGTCCTTTTTACCTCCTCTTTACATACATTTTTAATTGGCATTCATTCTGCAAAACTTTTTTAAATGGCTGCAAAAACACTCAATTTTCCCTCAACAATTTTTCGGTTCCTCTCTCGCATCGCTTTTCCCATGCCACCAATTTATTCCTTCTACTTTGTTTGTACTAATTAACATTTCCGTTGTTCTGACTAAAAAATTCTTTCTTTATTTTTTTTTATTTTTTAATAAAAATTGATTATTTTTAGGCCTCTAAATAGAGAATTTCTGATTTTTTTGGATAATTTTTTGACTTTTAGAGTAATATTTCCTTAATATTTTAAGGATTTTAATTAAAAAGAAGCCTTAAAATAAGCATAAGCATGGTTGAACGATTACCCAGATTAAATTTTTGAAATAAAATAAAAATTATATTTAAATAAAAAATTTCCTCTTTTGTCTTTAATTTATTTAAATAATTTATTTAAAGTTTTATTTAATGTCATTTCTCTCATAAATTTTTTAAACAAAAGCTTAAACAAAAAAGGTTTTCCACACTTTTAGAATTTTAAATAAATTTAATAAAATTCACATGGCACGGCATAAATTTAACTTTATGAATTTTTGATTTTTCTATAGCGTTTCCATGCCTTCAAATAAATTTTTAAATAAAATATTGAGCTTTTTTTTCAATTTTATTAGAATTTACAGTTTTTTTTCTCACGCCACACTCTGCTCACGCTTTCAATTCCTTTCTCTTTACCGTCTCGGATTTCATACTAATAAATATTAACAATTTTTGAGTTGTAAGGGATTGGCTTTAAAAATTATATTTTATGGGGAAAATGAAGCCTTTTACTATACGATTTTTATTTTTTTTAAAATATTATTTTTAAATTTTTAAAATAATTTTTAATTTACTCTAAGCCTTACTAACCAATCAACGAGTAAAATTTTTTAAATTCCTAAATTTTAAACATTACTTGGGGAAATTATGTAGTTTGAATTAATGTTGTAACAAACAACCTTATTTGTTTGTTACTACATATTTTAAATTTAAAAATCTTTCAATGCACGAGTTTTTTATTTATTAGATAACATTTTTAATTGATTTTTTTTTTACATTTTAATTATTTTTTGCCTATTTTTATCATTATTTTAAAAGATTTATTTAATTATTTAAATACAGGAATTATTTTCCTATTAATTCCCTCTCCCTTAAAAATGCCCAATAAATCTGTACGTGTTTCTCGTCCCTATTGGGAATCCTCACCCTCAATCTCTTCTCAACTTGCTCATCGGCGTATATTTATTGCCAAAAACGATTCCTGTCCTCCACAAACAACAGCATCTTCCTCTCAAAATGGAACAATAAATGAGGTGGCAACAAACAACAATAATAATTTAATTAAGAAAATCATCCACAACGACAACGAAAGGAAAGGGAGCATTTCAAGAATAGCTACAGGAAATATTTCTTTTACATCTGCATCAATTACTAGAAGAGAATTATTATTAACACAATTTCCAGCTAATCCATATCACAATGGGGGCAGATTACTTCTAAAACGAGACAGTGAATTGGGGCGTAGTTTGGAAAGTGTTTGCAGCGGGGCTTCTTTGAAAACAAAACCTTTTGGTAATAAAGCATCTGGCTTTGTTTCAAATTCTCGGAAAAAGTCTGCGAGAGAAGAAAAAACATCTGGATTAAATTCAAGGAATGGCAGTGCAAAGTCTTATGAACGAAATCATAGTTGTATTGGATACCAAACGGTACTCAATTAATTGCTAAACAGTTTTTCTCACATTCCTCAACTTGGATGTTGAGTAGAGATTAAATTAAAAATAAAAAACTATTTTTGATTTCAAATTCTCAAAAAAAAACTTTTAAAAAATTCTCTCATTAGCGTACCTCTTTTCATCAAAAGATTCAAGTGCAAGGAACACTCAGTGAACCTTTAAACGCCCCAGAAATGGATAAACAACGTTGTTTAAATATTTCTTCACCGCCGGCTACGGAAAGAACAGCAAATGGAGGAGATGAAACTTTTAATCGTTCTACTTCAATTAGACGTTGTATTTCATCGATTTCGAAACGTTTCAAGAAATCACCATTTGAAGAATTTACTCCGCCTGTTCTTCAAAATCAATCAGAAAATAATTGTATATTTAATTAGACTATAAAACTTTGTTTTTTCTTTTTTATTTTTTAAATAATTAATGGTAATCCAAGGTTTTTCAAGCAAATTATTTCGTGTTTTCTCAAAAAAATATAAATTTTTATTTTTAGATGAAGCCGACCCCCACGCACTAATACCCTCTACAAGCGATGATTCCCTCGACAACGACCCAGAATTTCTAGAATTACAAGAACGTGAACAAATTGTGGATAAATACGAAAGAGTAATTAATTTTAGATATTTTGTTTGAAATAATTTGTTTATTTAAGGGTCCTGAACAAAAAGATGTTGACCCTTGGGAAAACCCAAATTTTGAACTTTACAGGATAACAGACAGATATGGATTTGTTCAGTCAGTTTCTTTTAAACTTTCAAATAATCCAATCAATTTCTTTTCAGCAAAGATGAAAAATTCTCGGCAGATGAAGCCGAGAAGAAACGAATAAAGAAGGAACTTAGAAGGGAAGATAAATGGGTAATTATGTTTAAAGAATGGGAACATCTACGTCCATCTAAATTACCTGAAAGAATTTGGAAAGGAGTTCCAGACAAATTTCGACTTTTAGTAAATAATTTTTTGGTACTTTATGGATATGTCACCCCCCCTCCTATTTTGAGTCTCAGTTTTCCTTAAACGTAAAAAATGGTCAGAGATTATTTTCTTCTCCATGTCAATCATTTTTTTCTTCTTCAAGTATTTTGCTTGTTTATTTTTCCTTTTCACATATTTTTTACTTACATTTCACTCATTTCGTTTCTACATTTACCACATTTCATTTGTTTGCTTGAAAAAAGAAAAATAATTGACATGGAGAAGAAAATAATCGCTGACCATTTTCTACGTTTAAGGAAAACTCTGAGACTCAAAATAGGAGGGGGGTGACATATCCATAAAGTACCAATTTTTTTTAAATTTAAAAATTAATTTTTAAAAAAGGTCTGGATGCGCCTTTTGGGGGCAAACGAACTTAAAGCAAAGGCACGAACTAATTTATATAATGATTTGTTAATTCGTGCACGTCTTGTTTCCAAAGACATTAAACAGATTGATTTGGATATTAATAGAACATATAGAGACAATTTGGCATTTAGAAGGAGATATGACGTGAAGTAATTTAATTTTTTGAGTAAATTTTATTTAAAATTATTTTTAAGGCAACAATCTTTATTTAATTTACTCACTGCATATTCTATGTTAAATACAGAAGTTGGTTATTGCCAAGGTAAATTTTGTTAAAATTCAATACCCATTAGGGCTGAAAATTCGTAATTAAAAATAGAGTGTTTAAATTGATGGGATTGATTGATTGTGCAGGGGCAAACGAACTCAAAGCTTCATTCACCCACACATTTTCTTTCCGAATTTTTAAAAATCATCTAAAATCGAGGATTTAACTGTAATTTAAATTTAAGGAATGAGTCAAATTGCGGCTGTTTTTCTCATGTATATGGACGAGGAAGATGCTTTTTGGTGTATGCATGCACTTTTAGTTACAAGAAAATATACAATGCATGGTTAGAAAATTTTTAAAAATTATTTTAACTTTATTTTTAAAGGTTTTTTTGTTCCTGGATTTCCAAAACTTCATCGCTTCCAAAATCATTATGACAAAGTTTTGCTCAAATATTTGCCAAGAGTTAGGAAACATTTGGTTTGTTTTTTAATTTTTTCTAAAAATTATTTTTTAAAGGACCAAACAGGCATTCCCCCCATTTATTTAACAAAATGGTGGTTTGGTTGTTTCCTAGATCGAGTCCCTTTTTCATTAACGCTTCGTTTATGGGATGTTTTTCTTTATTATGGAGATTGTATTCTCATTGCTATGGCCTATAATATTATGAAAATGCACAAAAGTAAAGATTTGTTTTTAATTTTAAAGATTAATTTTGAACGATTTAATTTTTAAAAAGATTTTTAAATTCACAAGTTTTCGATACTTCCTGCTTTTATTTTATTCAAAATTTATTTTACTATTTAATTTTTGAATATTTTCAATTTAAAAAAATAAAAATTTCAGAAACTATATTGAAATTAAATATTGAACAATTTATGGAATTTATTCAAAGAACATTAGCTGAAGATTTTGGATTTCCTGATGATAAAGTAATGGAATCATTAGAGGAATGTTTGAAGAAATTACAGGTTTTTTTTATTAAATAAATATTTAAATTAAATAATTTAGCAGATTTTTAATTTTTCTAGAATGATTAAAAAAATTATTTTCTGAAAATCTAAATTTTTATTACTTATTTTCCAAAAAATTAAACAAAATTTCATTTTAGAAACATTTTATTCCAAAATAAATTCAATCTTCAACTTTTCTTTAAAAATTAAATTTTTCTTTTCAGAATGACAAAATGGCATTACCACCCCCTCCAAATCCAACGGACCCACAAGAAGTTCCCACAAAACAATTAGGTCCAATTCTGACACGTTCAATGCTTGATATTCGCTCTGATATTGCTGAAGTATTTTAATTTAATTTTGAAAAATTAGATAATTTATTTTTTTAATTTAAAGGTCTACAGTAGATGTTCTCGTGCCAACTGTGAGTTTTATTTTTTTAATTATTTTTTCTTTCCCTTTCTTTTTTTTTTGTTTTTGTTCATTTTTTATTTTGTCAATTCCTTGTAAATTTAAAAATTGTTTTGTTGTGCTTTTACAGCAATATCAATGCTTCTCCTTTATTCTCTTCCAAGTGTTCTTAAATTTATTGATAGTGATGATGAAAATGTTGATGAAGAGGAAGGCTGTTGAGTTGCATGAAATTTTTTTTAAATTATAGTATATGTACATATTTTGAGATATATTTTCTCAAATTTATTTGTAGAGGTGTAGCTATTTTAATTTCTTTTATCCATCAAGGACGGCAGCTTTTTATTATAATTTCTCATTAATATTTTTGATAGTTTTTTATTTTGTCTCTATTTTTGTTATTTACATATGTTTCGATATATTTTTAGTTTCTCTATTTCAACCCTAATTAGGTTAAATATTAAATTAATTAATTATTGTCCTTCCTTTATTTGTTTGTTTCTTCAAATTACCGATATTTTTTAATTTTTTTTTAATTTAAAAATAATTTCACCTCTAATTTATTCCAAACATTTTTCAGCATTAGCCGGCCGTTCCCCAGCCCCCAGCCGACGACAACAGCAAAGACATTACAAATCAGCAACTGCAGCAATACGTGTTCCAATTCAGGATGCTTCAATTGAAGGAACAACAAATACTTCAATTCCTTTCTCAACCCCAGCCTCTTCATCTTCTTTTGTTTCCCCTCCAGTTGAACCTTTCCTTAGAAGAGTTGGATCTACAAAGGATAGAAGACATAAACCTCCACCTGTGCCAGATGAAGATGGTTTTGTTAGAATGAGTCCAAGACAGAGAAGGGAACATCAATTACAACAAGTATTGTAAAAAATATATAAATAAATAACAAAATATTAGTTTTCTTGTAAAAATTAGTGAATCTTTAGAAAAATACTTAAATATGTGTAAATCCCCCATTGTTTTACTCTTGTATTTTCATTAAAATAAATTTAAGAATTTATTCCACCTCCAAATTTTATTTTTTATTTGGTCATCTTAACTGGGTGTTTTTGAATTATTTTTTGAATTTTTTTGAATTATTTTTTAATGATTTTAAGCCTTAAAACTTTCAAATCTGATATTAATACATACACTTAATAATTTCATATTAAGCAACAACAACGCTTAGCTGAAGAAGCTGTTACCCATAAACGCCAACCTAGCCATTATGATAATGTTTTGTCCTCCTCTTCTTCTGATACTAGTGGTGTTAATAATACAAATAATGGAATAATTAATACTAATCAAATTAATAATAATACAAATAATTCTTCTACTTTTTATACCCAACAACATGGAACAAATGCATTAAAAAATTCTAATGTTAACCCTATTCAACAGCAACAAATATTACATTCTCCTATTCACAGTAATAATGTTGAGGTATTTTATTTACAAACTTTATGTAAAATTCAGAAGTTCTATATAAAGCCCGTTTGTACCTTCCAAACAAAATTGTCGAGTGCACCGACCAACGGGAAAGCCCTGTAGAAAAAAACTAAGATACTAAATAAAACCCTACTTCCGTAGGCTCATTCACCTAAGGCCGAATCAGGTAGTGGAAGACCGTTTGCGCCATATAAACTGACTTGAGTGGGAGCTTTTTTTACATATATTAGCGCGATGGTCTTTTGTTCTGGTCGAATTATTTGAGTTTGTTCTGTCTTGGATCGAGTTTTGTCAGATATTTAAAAAAGGGGACACCATTAACCCAGCTATTTCAAAACATCCAATTTTAAATTTTTTTATATATTAACCTAATTTTAATATTCAGCACAGGCGCGATATCTCTACTGACAGCAGTGGTCGACATCGAGTTCATCGAACACCGAATAATGTGACTTATGTAATGCTTGGTCCAGAAGAGGAAGAAGATAACAATAATAGTAGTGATGGAAGTCAACAAAGTATTGTGCCTTTTAGAAAAAATTTTGTTGAACAAAAAACGTCTGCAGCGGTCAGGCGTGTTGTTACTAGTCCACAACAACAAAAACCATATTTCCCTCCACCAGATTATCCTGGAAGCGAGAAATTTCTTCCAAAAACAACAGCTTCAAACAAAAATTCTGAAATCTCAGAAACACCAAAAACAATAAAAACGAGGCCAGAAAAACTTCCTTCTGAACGAACTCCTTCAAGAATACCAATGTCTACAAATACAGACAGACGTAGGCCGTCATCTCAAAATGAAAGACAACCTATGGCAAAACCTTTATATGCTAGAGATGAGAAAACAGTAGTGAAACGTTTTTAATTTTGAAGAGAAATGAGTGAGAGCTTTTTTAGGAGAGAAAGACTTGAAAAAATTGAAGCATAATTTTAAATAAAAAATCTGTATCAATTTTAGACACTTATAATTAGGTATGTAGAATACTTTAATTTAGATTTGGGAAAGCAAATTTTTTAAGCAAAATTCCTTTCACAATTTTTAGAAAATAAAATATTCCTCTTTTAGAAATTATTTTTTTATTTCCTAAAAATTATTCCAACCCCGGAAATTAAGTGTTTAAAATCATTGTGATATCTAATTGTTTGCGTTTCTTAAAAAATTGATTTAAAATGCCAAAAATTGTAATTTATTCCTCGGGACTTGAAAAGTGCTACAATTGTACAGTGAATTGCAATTATGTAAGTGGATATTAATTTAGTATTAGAGACAAGTTTGATTCCATTCCACAAGTAAATGCAGACTTGCACACGGATACGGATATGGATACAAATAATATCAAAATGCCTGCGGATATCCGTCTGTATCCGCCGTAAATATCCGGATACGGATACCAAGATCAGTATCCGTGTGCAAGTCTGAGTAAATGTCTTTGTGAAAATTTATTCATGTGTTCAACGCCAGAACGATCTAGTCGATTTTCTGGAATCCCTATCTAATCACAATTGACTGTACAACATTGTACAAATGTCCTGTGGACTACGTTCAATCTCGACTTTATATGAGGCGCAAATCCATGTTTTACATCTTTATATTCATGCATTTAAAAATAAATTTTATTTTTTCCAATATGTATTTACAAGTATAAAATATTTTTCAAAAACATTATGGTAAAAAGACATAACCAATGCTTGGAACCAGTGCAAAAACAGAATATAACCAAATTTTAATCAAAAAACCCCATAGTTTGATTATGCCTTTTTACTATTTTAAATGCCAATAAGAAATTAAATGATGTTTCAGATTGATGAATAAATTAAAGCTCAATGAGGAGATGTTTCTAAATGACATTAAAAAATTGAAATAAAATCACAGGGAAATACACAAGTAATATAAAAACATCAAAATGCGTAATTGAAAACAATCAAAAATAGATTGATTTGAGGTCATAAGAAAATCACACAAGAGAAAAAGGAAATTATAAGGCAAAAAATAAATAGAAGATTCAAAAATTATTTTTTAAAATTGTTCTCAAACACTCAAATTGTGAAACAAATATTTTTTTGAAGATTTAAAGGCCCAAAAAATTCATTGTTGTTTAGAGAACAATTTTAAACACAAGAAATATTAAATTATTTCAGTTACCTTTTAATAAATTCGAAAAATATTTTCTTGTTGATGACGAAGATGTTTATTAAAGTGTACCAAAAAACTAGAGAATTTTGATGGAGGTATATGCCCTTTAAAATAATCCAAAGGTTGAGGTTTTATTCCGTGTATAAAGGTATATTCAAGTTGTAGAAAATCAATCATTACTCGAATTAAATTTAATGTTTGAATTTGTCGATATTTTGAACGTCTGATACGATATGAATAAGTAAACAAAAAGTCCTCGTCAGTTTTGATATTTGATGTACAAATATCTAGAAAATTATTAAATTAATTGGGAGGACAATTAAATGTTAAATATCCCTTCATTTTCACTCAATTAATTATCTAAAAATTGCCCAAATACTTTTAAAAAGTCCCTAATAACAAAAGCTAAAATGCATTTTACTTTTAATCAACAATTAATATTTAATTAACTTGCCTTGATCAATTTCCATTTGTAATTCCATTCCCAATTGAAATTTGTTTATATCACTTTTACTCTTTTTTCTAGGTAATGAACTTGTCGAAGATTCAGAATTATCGTTGTCATCCCTTTTAAGTTATTTTTTTATATTTATTCAAAGTCTCGGCCCTATCTGAAAATAATGCGGCAATCAAATTTTTTCCTTATTCTTAAAAATGGTTAATTTTCTTATATTTTTTCTCTATTTTTGGTTTTTGCCTTAAGACTATAAACGCAAAAGGATTATTTTTCTTTCATTTTGTAAGCATTTACGTTTTTTCTGTCCGTGTTTTAACTGACCGATGTGTGTGCTTGTTTTGTTTGTCCGGGTCCGTCCTGACAAAACACGGACGGTCCTTGTTTTGTCTGCCCGTGTTCGGCCGTGTTTTCTGTCCGAGTCCGTCTTTGTTTTGTCTGTCCGAGTCCGTCCATTTGAAGTGAACGAGGGAAAAAGTCCGACCTTTCTGTACAAAATAAGGAAAAATGTGGAAAGGAAAAAATGAAGGAAAAAATTTGATTGCCGCATTATTTTCAGATACGGCCAGTCTCTATCCCCTCTATTTATGTTAATATTTTTATTCAAAAACCATGGTCAATGTTCCTATTTCTTCCAAAACACCAAAAAATAAAAGAACTGCTTCTTAAGCTAATAGTAATTTAATTACATGCCCATGGTTTTTAAATTTTAAATTTTGTTTTTACTTGACTTCAATATTAATTGTTTCTGATTTAAGAGGCTCCTTTGTGAGTCCATTCGGATAAAGTTATATATTTAAAATTTAAGATCGAATAATATTCTCCATCTTTACCTCTATGAATTTAAAAAATACCTATTATTCTTCTCATTATTTTTCCTCTTTAAATGTTTAAATTTAAATCTAATTGTTCTTCCAATACATTCTAATATTTTTTGGCAATATTTAAATTCTCTAAATTTGTCATTCGAAACAATAAAACCACCAACTTGCGAAGCATATTCTAAAATAGCAATATCGTCATGAACATTTGGTGGAACAACTGTGAGAATTCCGAGAGCTTTAAATTCCTAAATTACAAAAATTATTTCTTTAAAGAAAAATTAGAAAAAAAAACCTGTAAAATAAATAAATTGGAAACTTTATTTTCTGACATATATGAAAAAGAGATAAATACACGCACATCAAAGTCCTCTTCAAATAACTTTTTTACAACCAATAGAAGGCCAATTGCATCCGGTTTTCTTTAAAATTAAACGTTTTAATTTTTCGAATTCAAAAAATTAAACAAACTTTTGATCAAACATTTTCTGTTCTGCACTTGAATGTAACCCCATACCAGCACATAAATGTAAAACATTACATCCATCAACTACAGCCATTCTTTTAATCACATCTTTGGTTGGGATAATGCCTTCTAAAAATAAAAATTATTTAAATGTTATTTAGAAGAATTTTTAAAGGAATAGTTTTAATTTTCTAAGCTAACGAAATTAACATTAGAAGATCGTGTTAAATTAAAAAAATCAAACCTTCATCTGATTCACAATTTACAATCATTGGCTACCTCCTAACAGAAAAAATATGAAGAAATTAAACAAATCAATTAAAATATTTAAAAATAAATTTTACGAATAATAAACATTAATTAAAAATATTAGAGAAAAAATTTATTTTCAAAAAACAAATATATATTCTATAAATAGGGAGATCATCGATTTTTGCAGTTTTATTAGATTTATCGATACAATTTTAAAAAATTAATAAATCGATTACTCTCCTCTTTAAATAAGTATATCCGTGTCCTAAGGTCTTGTTGTTGAGGAAAAATAAAACAAGAAAGGGAAGGGGAAAATAATTTTATTTATTTAAAAATTCTTTATTTTTCTTCAATTTCGTCCACTTCTTGTTATTTATTACATAATTATTCTTTTGTTGGAATCCCTCTATTTACCCTCTTCTTCCTCCTTCTGTTTCTCTTTAGCCATTTTCTCTTCGTGTTCCTTAGCATTTGGAATCCAAAGACCAGAATCAATACAACGCTGCAAATGATAATTGAAGACTTCCCTATCCATAGTTTCAGCTACTTTGAACATTTTCTCCATACTTTGAGATTCAAATGCTTCACGCAACGCCTAGAAAGAGAATATTGAATTTAGGCTTTAAAAGCTTTGAAATTTTTGAATAAATTTAAAGAAAATTAAAAACCTCAGGAAGACTTTCCAAAACCTCAATAGGATCCAAACCACCGGGAGAAGCCTCAACTCGCTTAGCCTTATCAGATGCCTCTGCTTCAGCGACATAAGCCTCACGTTTGTCTCGGGCACGCTTTCGAAGACGTTCCTTGAAGGATTGAACTTCCTCCTGATACATTTGCAGATACAAAACCTCAGCAGAACGAATTCTAATTAAATAAATTGAAAAGAAAATAGAGAATAAAAAAACTTTTTGAAGAAGCTTTTGATCAAATTTGTATTTGTTGAGAGAGCATGCAATGATTTGGCAAGTTCAAGAAGATATTGAATTGTAATACAATTCTCAGCTACAAGACCCATTTTGTCATCCTTTAAAAATAATTTTGAACTATAAAAAGTAAAAAATCTTTACATCTCCCTCAATTGCATGATTGAGAGCTTCGATGGTCAACCAATTTGTAGCATATTCAGAAGCCAAATGAGGGTTATCCAACAACATATTCTGAAAACAAAAAATATTACTTAAAATAAAAAATTTAAAAAAAACCTCCATAGCATCAAACCCCTTCAAAAGACTCATCTCTCCCAATAAAGTCTCGTTTTTAGAAAAGTAGTCAAGTAAACGTCGATGTTCTTCGTCTTCACTGAGTTTTGGTTGAGCAGAAACACTAGGAGAGGAAGCATCCTTAACTGAAGTCTTGTCTTTTGGCTGAAATTAATGAAAATAAATGTTAAAGATTAATTGTTCATTTCACATGTGTTTTTTCTCGGGACCAGTAAACTAGAAGATTACCCACGTGTTTAATAGAAACAAGTCCTTCTTCAAAAGAAAAAGGGGGCAATACACATTAGTGTAGATACTATTCATTAGGTTCAGAATTAACCAAAGCCCAACTGGACATTTGGTCAAATTCAACAGCTATCAGGGGTAGGGGCGGTAGTGGTAGAACAATAGTATCTTCAAAAAACCACCTTATTAACAATAGTTCGACTCCAAGTTTCCTTCCCAATTGTATCGATATTCCAAGGTGCCAGTCTCTCCTTATCAGCCAATTCCTTCTCTTTTCGTAAATATTCTTCTTCTTGTTTACGGATATTATCACGTTCCAACTCCAATTTGATACGCTCTTTTTCATCCAAATTTGTGTTTGAAAGCTTTTCTTCAATTTCCTTAAAATAAAAATTTTTTGTTTAAAAAATTCTTCAAAAAACCTGAACACGGCTCAAAACTTCCTTCTTTCCTCCCTCAACCTTCTCCTTTTCTTCTTTCATTTCTGCCATACGTTCAAGCCGAGCTTTGTGACGCCAACGGAAAAGAGAAGGCTAAAAAATATTTTAAAAAATAAATTAAAAATAAAAAAGACCGTATCGATATTTGGATGGGTATCATCTTCATCATCAGATATTTCAATATCCTTCCAACGAGAATAATCTATGGCCATTGGTTGAATAATAATGTTAAGAATTTAATTAATTTTACAGCTAAAAGAACTTAAAATTAATAAAGAAAACAATAAAAAAATTTCCATAAAACCCCTCGTTTTGCTCTGACTAATTCGGGTAGGAGACGACTGGGTGCCGCATCTTTCTATAATTGGACTGATCTAATCAGTCTACAAAAAGTTTTCAATAAAGCGCGGATTTAGGCAAGCAAAAACAGTGAAATAGACGCCCCAAAAAGCCCTTCAAAAGATAAGCATTTATTCGTTACATTTTGAATTATAAACGTAAATCAAATACTTTTCAGAATTATCTAAAGTAAAAAGACATCCGTTTCTCAGAATGAACTGATATTTTAAATTCTAGTTCGACGAATTGAGTATTTTCACTCTGTTGGACATTTTTAAATGTGCCGTTTAGGTGTAGGACATCTTGGAATTTTTGCTCAGTGGGACATTTGGGCGTTTGTTCGGTGAGACGAATCGGGGCTTACGGACTGTGGGACGAATCGGGGGGTTTTGATAAGTGGGATGATCAACGAAATCTTAAACAAAAAATTATCTTCAGCTGAATTGATTGATGTGTGGGAAGGAATGGGTAAAAGAACTGATGGAAAAGGAAAAAAGAGCGCGACTAAAAAAGCATACCCAAACCATATAAATTCTCCGTTTATTTCCGCCGATATCCTTCCAGTCCAATTAATGGACCTAATCTCTGTTAATCTCAAAAATCTCCCAATATACATACGTGCTAGTCTTCAATACCTTCTTAATCACTTCCAATCCCTCTAACAAAGTTTGTTTTTTGTATGTTGTTGTCAATAAATTATTTTTAATTTTTACAAGGAATCGACTCGTGGCATCGATAAAAAATTAGTGAATGACTTAGCGTGTCTAAATATGATTGGCTGTAAATAAAAGATATGCTGTGCCCCACCCCCTCTCCCCATAATGGCATCCTTCACAAATTTTTCTATGGATTCCATTCGATTTACATAAGCTTAAAGCATTTTTTAAAAATTTAGTTAAAAATTTTAAAATATAATTCTTAAAATAATAAAACTATTAATTCATTCTTGTTTACTATTATTTGTAGTAGGGTTGTTAACGGTCGGTTAACCGAACCGGAACCGTTAACCGGTGTTTTTGGCCTAATTTGTAGTTAGAACTGTTTCAAAACAATTTTTTTAATCTGAAATTAAAAGAAAAAATAATTTCGAAAGTTGAAACTTCGAAAAAATAATTGTAAAATATTGCTTTAATTATTTATAGTAATTTTTGCAGAAATCGTGAGGGGCCTGAGACTAGTAATTCCTTCAGAAATGAAAGTGTTACAAGTGCAATAATCTTATTTTAAACCCTAGCTACTGCTAAACATAAATTTATATTGCGCATTGAAAGTTGCCAACTGCAAAAAAACAGCTAGGTCGTAAAGTTAGATGAATAAAATACTCCACCATTTTAGTAAGAATTATAGCAAACAAATAGAGCCAATACACAAATAGGGATTTCGCAAGAGCTGGGTTAGGCCAAAAGATTCCAACACAATTGGCCAAGGGTTTAGTACCAACAAATTAAAACCACACAAATAGTAATAAGTTTATTCACACAATTAAAATCCAACAAAGATTAATGATAAGGCCACAGGAACCAGAGCTATAAGACCAACAGAAGCAAGCCAAACAGAATGAGCTAATGAGAAAGCTAATTAGGGGTTTGGAGGGGGAGATTATATAGGCCAGAAAAATAGGCGGGTAGACAGAAAAATATTTCGATCATTAAAGGCATAATAGGAATAAAATTGCACATATTTGAATGATACAAAAGAGTGGAAAATAAAGTTAAGTTTTAGAACAAAAGGACTAAAAATGTAAATAGAGTTTGAATAGATGTTTACAGCAAAAAAATGATTTTTAGCCAGGTGAAAGTCCGAAAAAGGAATTTGCAAAAAGTGATGATTAATTTAGAATTAAAATTATAAAAATATATTTATTTTATTTTCCTCATCCTTCGTTGCTTCGCGACAAGAATTCCTCTATTTTAGCGCCAAAAATTTGACAGATTTTCAGAAATTTCGAAACAGCTCTGTTTGTAACAAGGTATAAATATAAATTGATGTTATCTTCAAAATACTTTTATAAATTTCTGTGCTATCTTCAAAATACTTTTTGTATTTGGAAGGAATTTTAAATAAAAATACTATTTTAATTACATATGCAAAATTTAAATTTAAGTAAGAGAGAGGTAAAAATTTAGCCGCGAGAAGGCAACGATCCTGCTAGCTAGGCGCTTTAGCTCTAGCTATTGAGCTATCGGATCTATCGAGCTATCCTTCACCTTCTCTTTTGATAGAGCTTAAGCCCCCGCCTAATGCTAGCCAGCTGGATCTTTCTCTTTTTTACATTTATTTACAATTTTAAAAATTACCCCCCCCCTCCCCCCCCCCCTCCCCCTTCCACTCATCTCCATTCCCCTCATCTTCCCCTATCCCTCAATAATTTATTTCATTCACTTTACAAAATTTTGCTTTAATTGAGAAGATACAAAAATAATAATTTTATTTATTTTGAATTTTAAATTCTTTCCAAAGAAGACACTCGATTATTATTTTTTATAATATTCTTTAAGAGAATTTAAATTAAATAAACAGAATTCCCTCCACCGCTAAGTCAAGTTTTTCTATTTATCGAGTATTTCATAAATTTAGAAAAACTGAAAAAATATTTTTATATTAATTTAATTATTTTTAAGTAATCTTTCAAAAAAAACTAAAATGAAAAAATTCATTTTATTTTTGCTTTTATTTTTTAATTCAATTTTTCTTCAATTGGGAAGTGGAATGGAGGGTTATGGAGGTTTACATATTTTTTTATTAATTATTTTGTGTCAAGTTTTCCAAGTATTCAAATAAAATTTAAATCATTTCTTGTGACACTAATTTTTATTTCTCG